AAATGACCAAAAATTTGACTTACAGACTACGATAAATTGTGAATTTGAGAGCTTGCATGAATATTTTATTTAGAAAAACAAGTTGTGATTTGACCAAAAATATTCAAAATCATGAGTTGTAGTCCACGAGAGAGTGTGATTTGGGAGCTCACATAAATATTTTAAGCAAGAACGCAAGAAGTGGTTTGGTTGAAAATGGGCAAAATTGTAGGGTTATACTTTAGAGAAATCATGAAGTTTGGAGCATGTATAAACAGTTGTATGGAAACCCAAGAAATAATTTGGCTAAAAATGACTAAAATTGTTAATTACAAGTCCACAAGAAGTCGTGAACACGGGAGCTCACATAAATATTTTACATGGTAAGGAAAGAATTAATTTGGTTCAAAATTGTGTGTTAAAGTTCACGAGAAATCATGAATTTTGAAGCTCATATAAATATTTTATGCATGAATGTTAGAAATGATTTGGCTTAAAATGGAAAAAAATTGTTGGAAAAATGAATTCTTACTTTCCCACATAAAACTATTTATGCAAGATCCCTATAATAAAAATAGTGTGTTATAGAATTCATTTTTCCAAAAACAACCTAAATAGTGTGTTATAGATTATGAGAAATTGTGAGTTTGTGAGCTCGCATAAATATTTATGCGGGAATGCAAGGATTGAATTTGTTGAAAATAACCAAGGTTGCAAGTTACTATGATAAATCTCCAATTTTGGAACTCGTAAAAATGTTTTTTAGGCGAAAATGTAAGAAATGGTTTGATCGAAAACAACTAAGGTGGGAAAGAAATGGTTTGATCGAAAACAACTAAGGTGGGAAATCGTGAATTTAGTGGGCTCGAATAAACATTTCATACAAGAGCACAAGAGGCCATTTGATCAAAAAATGACCAAAAGTGTGGGTTATAGTTCAAGCGAAATCTTGAAGTTGGCGAGTTATTTCTAAGTGGGAACGCAATAAATTATTTAGCCTAAAGCAGTGAATATTGTGGGTTATAGTCCGTAAGAAATTGTGAACTTGGGAGTTTGGAAAAATAATTTATCAAAAATGTAAGAAATGATTTGGCCGAAGAAGACCAAGATTATGGGTTATAATTCACAGGAAATTGTGAATTTTGGGAGGCTGCATAAATAAGCGGGAATGCAAAAATTAGTTTGGTTGAAAACGGTCTAAATTATGATTTATAGTCCATGAAATTGTGACTTGGGACTTTGCATAAATAATTTATCTTGGAACAAAAGAAATGATTTAGCTGAAAAAGACCAAGATTATGGGTTATTTTCCTCGAGTAATCGCGAATTTGGAAGCTAGCTTAAATATTTCTAGGTAAATTGCACTTACATGCCCTATTGTTTTCCCCGATATTGCTTCAAAATACACTAAGCTTAAAACCCTCACTAAAATACCTTAAAGTTACTAAAACATGCACTTCAATTTCGGGCAAGTTTAGAAACCTTAGGGTATGTTAAGTGTAGGGTTTTAAACTTATGGTATTTTGGAGCAATATTAGGTAAACAGTAGGGTATTTAAGTGTAATTTATCCATATTTCTATGTGAGAATGTGTGAAATTTTTTGGCCTAGACGTCCGAAATTGTGGTTTATGATCCATGGGATATCGTTAATTTTAGAGTTCACATACATATTTTATGGAGGAAACCGAAAGTGATTTCTCCAAAAAATCTAAAATTGCAAGTTATCGTCCATAAGAAATCGTGAATTTAAGGGTTCAAATAAATATTTCCATATGGGAACACAAGAAGTTATTTAGTTGAAAACAACTACCATTGTGGGTTATAGCCCACGAGAAGTCGTGAATTTGGGAGCTTGCATAAATATTTCTATGCGGGAATGTCTGAAATTACATAGCCTAAATTGGTCAAAATTGTGGGTTGCACTTCAAGTTCAGGCAAGTTTTAAAAACCTTAGTGTATTTAAGTATATGGTTTTAAACTTTTGGTATTTTGGAGCTATATCAGGCAAACAATATGGTATTTAAATGTAGTTAATCCATATTTCTATGCAAGAATGCTTGAAGTTATTCGCCCAAAATGTCCAAAATTTTGTTTTATGGTCTACGAGAAATCATGGATTTTGGAGTTCGCATAAATATTTTATGTAGGAATGCAAAAGTGATATGTCCAAAAACATCCAAAATTGTGAGTTATAGTCCACAAAGTCGTGAATTTGAGTGTTCAAATAAATAGTTATATATGGGAACGTGGGAAGTTATTTAGTCTGAAACAACTATCATTATGGGTTATAGTCGACGAGAAGTTGTGAATTTGAAAGCTTGCATAAATATTTCTATGCGGGATTGTAAGAAATTATTTTGCCTAAAATGGTCAAAATTGTGGGTTATAATCTATGAGAAATCGTGAATTTGTGAGCTCACTTAAATATTCTATGCATGAAACCAATAATTGATTTTGCCAAAAGCTACTAAGATTGAGGGTTACAGTTCACGAAAAATCGTGAATTTGGGAACTTCGATAATTATTTTATTTGGGGTTGCAATAGGTGATTTGGTTGAAAATAGCCAAAAATTTGGGTCATAGTCCATGAGAAATCGTGAATTTGGGAGCTCACATAAATATTTTATGTAGGAAACAAGAAGTTATTTGATCGGATACATTGAAAATTGTGAGTTATAGTCCATAAGAAATCATGAATTTGAGAGTTCTCACACACCATCAAAGTCTTTGTTCCAAATGTTTGGGGTCGCTATAAAAATCCTATTCTTCCATTCAATTGTGTTATGAGACATCTCTGTTAAGTTCAACATAATTATATCTTTCTTAATTGCTTCCAACCAAGTTTTTTTAATCTACCTCTAGATCTCCTAGTCCCATTAATTATAGTGCTATCAACTTTCCTAACCGATACGCTAAGAGGCCTCTGTTGTACATGATCAAACCATCTTAGTTGATCCTCTCTCGTTTTATCCTCATTAGCGCAACATCTAATTTACTACGAATTTACTCGTTTCTTATCCTATCTTTTAGTGTACACCGACAAGACCATCACAACTTTTTTATTTCTACTACACATTTGATTTGGTCGAATTGATTTAGTCGAATTTGAGAGTTCATATAAATATGCTGGAACACAGAATTGATTTGGTTGAAAACAATAAAAATTGTGCATTATAATCATGAGAAATCATGAATTTAGGAGCCTGCATAACATTTCTTTGCAGAAACACAAGAAATGACTTTGCAAAAAATGACGAAATTGTGGGTTATAGTCCACGAGAAATCGTGATTGTAGCCTATGAGAAATCGTAAGTATGGGAGATCGCATAAATATTTTATGCGGAACGGTAAGAACTAATTTGGTCAAAAATGGTCAAAATTATTTGTTATAATTCACGAGAAATCGTGAATTTGGAAGCCCATGTAAATATTTTATGCATGAATGAGAGAAATAATATAGGCCAAAATTGTGGGTTATAGCCTATGAGAAATCGTAAATTAGTGATCTTGCATAAATGTTTTTATGTGGGATTTTAAGAATTGATTTGACCAAAAACAACCATAATAGCGTGGTATAGATTATGAGAAATTGTGAATTTGTGAGCCCGCACAAATATTTTATGTGCGAATGCAAGAGTTGATTCGGACGAAAACAATCAAGATTGTGGGTTATTGTCTACGAATCATTAACTTTGGAACTTGCAAAATATTTTTATACAGGAATGTAAGAAATTATTTGGCCTGAAAAATAAAATTATGAGTTATAGTCCATGAGAAGTCATGAATTTTTGAGCTTGCATAAATACGCCTATGTTGGAAAACAAGTATTGATTTGTCTAAAACTGGCCATGATTGAGGTTTATAGTTCAAGAGAAATTGTAACTTTGGCGGTTCGCGTAAAAAATTTATGTGGGAACACAAAAATTGACTTGGCCAAAAATGAGTAAAATTGTGCACTATAGTCCACGAGAAATCATCAATGAGATTCATATTTCATACTTAAGAACACAAATATAGTCTCAACTGATTTATGTTTAAACTAGCACTATTTGGCTAGAAGTGAATGGAGGAGTGGTGAAGGGAAGGAAAAGGTTCATCCCATTTGGGAGCTTTTAAAGGGAAAAGAGAGTAAGAGGGGTGAAAATTGCACCCTCACTTTACCTTCATTCCATATGACTTTATTCCCCCTCAAATTGGGGTTTGATGGAGGTGAAGAGTTTTGAAGCGTCATGATATGAGTCCAATGGTTAATACTTAATAGATGGTTTCCCTCCATTTCCTTTACTAAACTCCCAAACATGATATTATGTTTTCCCTCCGCTTTCTTTCACTTCCCCTCCCCTATTCTTTTCCCCTTTCTTTTCCCTTACCCTCCATTAGTAAACTCCCAAACATAGTATAAATTATGACTTCTATTTGAAAAATAGCCAAATCTCAAAAAGTACTTTGCTATAAAGTAAAATCTGTCCTGCATTTATATAGTAATTCTCTTGAGATTTTGACGCTCTGAATGATATAATTTGAAGAAATCATTAACTTAAACTTGTACCTCTCATCCTTAGCTTTGAAACAATGGTTGTTTATGGCTGAACCGACCTTTGTAAGCATTTACAATTGTTTTTGTGCTGCTGAGTCTGGGAGTCCAACATTCAGCATTTTGTTTTGTTCACGTGTGATGTTTGTTTCACTAAATTTATTTGCTTTTTTGCATCATGTAACATTGCGTGGTCCTTGCTTGTTTCTATTTTCTTGTAGGCTATGCCTCTACTGACCATATCATGCTCTTACTTACAATGCTGTGTAGTTACCAACGTTCATGAGCTATATGATATATCTTTTCTCCTCCCAACCAACTCATCTATTTCAAATCAACTCTTCAGCAAATTCTTCGTAGTGCCGACTTGTTCCCTGCTTATTTTAATTTAACTATTCTTTATGCATACTGTTCCTTTTATATTTAACTATTTATATGCTTTACAAGACCAACCAATGTCTGTCGAACTCATTTTGATACTGACTTATGTTTCAGGCTCGAATTCATGATGAAAGTGTACGATATGTCTTATCAGACCAAGCAATAGTTGCCCTTGCCACAAAATTTCCTACAAACGCGACAGAAGTATTTCAAGTCATACAACAAGCTGATTTGAGTACTGAGTCTTCAGATATTGCTTCTGTCCTGCCAACACCATCACATATTGTTAGTACTCATATGGACGAAATTTGTTTTCTTCTTCAGGAAGTTGATGTTAATGTTGATGATGTTCTTAAAAGATATCTGCAGAGGCACTTAGATCTTAATGGGTGTTGCCCAACATCGATTTATAATTATGCACTTCTATCTGAGTTTAATTTAAAAAAGACTAGGACATTATTCTCTAAGCAAAATGGAGGAAAGTTTAGCACACAGGTCGGCAAGAAAGCTTCTCGTGAGCTTTTTGTTCAGAAATTCTCATGCAAGTCTCCAGTTTATCACAACTGTAGGATTTATGCCAATGATGGACGACTGCTTTGTTACTGTGATCGTAGAAAGCTGGAGTGGTTAGTTGACCGTAACCCTCAACTTGGTTATACGAAATTGATCTGCTAATTCATCTGACATTTGTCTTTTTCTTTATACAGGTATGTACGACGTGGTTTAGCTAAGCTTGTGGAAGATGACCCTCCAGCAATAATGCTTCTTTTTGAACCAAAAGGTCGTCCAGAGGATGAAGATAATGATTTCTATATTCAGAGTAAGAAGAATATATGTGTTGGATGTGGAGAAAAGAATCATTATTTGCGGTACCGAATAATCCCTTCATGCTATAGAGTGCATTTCCCTGAGCACTTGAAAAGTCATCGTTCCCATGATATAGTTCTGCTTTGTGTGGACTGTCATGAAATAGCCCATTCTGCTGCTGAGAAGTATAAGAGGCAAATATCAAAAGAATTTGGTATCCCCCTTTTTGTGCAAAAAATAGTTGATTCAGGAGAAAGCAATGTTGTGAATTTTCCATCAAAATCTACTGATGAAACTGAAGACAGTGGTGTTTCTCCTTTGCAGTTGCGTACTGCAGCTATGGCACTTTTACGCCATGGATCCACCATGCCATCGAGAAGGCATGATGAGTTGATGCAGGTGAATTACCTTTAATTAATCTTTCAAAGAATAACTTTTCAACTGTTGGTGGATTTTACACTTTGGTTAATATTATTTGTTCAGTTTTTTGTGCCAATCATCCATTACTGAATAAGCATGTCACTTGGTGGATGACGTAGAAGAGTTCAAATGGATGACGTAGAAGAGTTCAAAGAGTGAGTCAAGGATATTTCCCTGTGAAATGACATAAAGTGGAATCAAGAGATGAAGTTTTTTTAAGAGTGGAAGAAAAGATATGGAAGTTTAAGACTAGGCAGAACCTTTGAATATATGGATATCTACTGATGCCATGCTCCAGGCTAGATTTCAAATAGGGCTGCTTTTTTGCATTCAAGTCATAATAATGCCATGTGAGAAGTTTACTTTTCCAACACATTGCTGTAGGATATGCTGGAAGAGCAAGGTTGCATCATGAAAATAGCCCTTTGCCAATTTCCCCCTGTATGTTTGAGAACTTATCACAGACTCTTTTGTTAAAAGGTCTACTCAATCTCAAATGAATACAAATACTTCCTGGTCTACTTGTATTGCCACCAAGCATAGTTCCAGAACAAACTAGGGTAATGCAATAAATACAGATAGCTGTAGATTTCTGGCGAAGCAGCTTGAGGAAAATCATGTTACCTTTCTAGCAATGGAAGTGGGTTGGCTATCAGGCACGAGGTTTTCCAGGCTGTATTCATCAGTGAGAGTAATTAACAGTCTTAATATTTTCTGTGATCCTTTGATCTAGAAAATCTTTTGCCTACTTTGTTAAACTTATATTGTTATACCTATGAAAAAGATGCCAGTTCTTTTAGCAAAATATTTGTTTTGCACTCTTTCACAAAAATGATGTAAATCTGACTACTGTGTTTACATCCTGTGTGACATGCTTTTCGTTTTTTCTCTTGCAGACTGTAAAGACATATTTTGGGGGAAGGGAGATATCTGCAGAAGATCTGGAAAGGGCGTTACTTGTTGGTATGAGTCCTCACGAAATAAGGCGACTTGAGAAGAAAAAAGGCTTGAATTTAAGGCGTTTCAAAGAGAGTAACTTTCATACCCTTAGCGGAACTTCACCGCAAGCAAACGGGCATGATAGCAACAGTGCTGAAAATAATTCAAAGGAATCATTGGAATATGGAGATAACAGCGAAATTGGAAATGGGCAAAAGAGTACGTCTACTAATGAAATAGACGTAAATCTTCTGTCTAGGGCCCATGAAGACATCTCTTTCATCAATGGCGTTGGTAAAAATGGTAGTGTTGAAACGTTTCATAAGGAAAAAGGACAAAATGGGTATGGTAATCCATCAGATGAAACTGGTAATCCATCAGATGGAACTGTAATAAATCACAAGTCTTCTACTTCTCATCAAGTCCTCTCCTCTAAAAGTGCGAAGAAGTTGTCACTATTAGGACATGGACCACATGGAAAACAAGTTGTGGAGCATTTGCTAAGCAAGTATGGGGATGATGGTATTGGCAAATTTTGCCAAAGATGGAGACAGGTCTTTGTGGAGACTGTTCATCCTCGTTTTTTGCCTTTAGGGTGGGATATAATGCACAGGTAATCAACTAAGTACTTATATTTTTCAACATAGTTCGTTATATGTCCATGTTATTTGTCTTTCTCCATTTTAGTATTTGTTTTTTGCTTTCTAGGAAGTTGTCTTTCACAAGACCATAGTGAAAGCTATGATTTTTCTTGATCGCCCATGCAAAATTTTGGAATAATATTAGACCTACTATTTCATGTGCAAAATTTTCCCTATGAAGTATGTGTAGTCGTATTTATTTCTGCAAATATTAACACAGTCTTCTTTTTGGTGAGGCAATGCTACATTTAGTTCCACTCATTGGCAGAACAACACGTGTTCAATGGGATCTATTCCACAAATTGATTCTATACTTGCAATTTAAAGATGTCCAACATGGTCTTCCATTAATATTAACTAGTTTGAATCTTAAGCTTCTTCGGTCCTATCCGGACATGACTTTGACGCTTCCAAATAACATTGTTGTACGCAACATGTTAGACATCACATTTCTTTATTTTTTTCACATTAAGTACTACATACTCGCAAGGTTGTAGAAAGCGGATAGCTTGCATAGCGGTGAGGCACTGCTATGTCTATTTGAGGCTATATCGACAAAAAAACGGCCAAAAGTGCAAAACAATTAGCGATCCCTTTGAAATATACCAATTATACCTATGGATGTCGGGAACATGGGATGGGGACAGTATAGTGAGCCACGACCCAGATTCACTCGTTTCGAGACACGATAAACTAGAAAATTGGCCTGCGTACCTAATGATCTGAAGAATTAAAATTAGTTAATATTTTTGGGGGAAAACAATCACTTTTAGCAAAAAGCAGCAAAAAGTGCAAAATCAATAAGCGATCCAATTGAAATATACTAATTATACCCAATGATCTGAAGAATTAAAATTAGTTAATATTTTGGGGGAAAACAATTACTTTCAGAAAAAAGCGGCAAAAAGTGCAAAATCAATAAGCGATCCAATTGAAATATACTAATTATACCCATGGATTTCCAGAACATGGGACAAATACACTATAGTGAACCACGACCCAGATTCAATTGCTTCGGACACGGTACACTAGTGAATTGGGCTGCGTACCCCATGACCTGTAGAATTAAAATTAGTTAATATTTGGGGATAACTATCATTTTTAGAAAAATAAACAAAAAATATTCCTTAATTGCAACTTGAGAATCTTTTACTATTAATAATCATTGAATTTGACTCTTGTGGATAGCTGTACATTAAGGCATTTAGATTTCTACATTTAAAGACTGTACCTAAAGTGTACCATGTTCTCTACTATATCATATAAGCATATCCCCATCATACCCTATTCCAAATACGTGGTGTACCACGCTCTCGTTCCCGACCTGTGAACCGGAATAAATCAAGTTCCATGGAACTATGATTATACCCTTCCCGGTATCTAACAGATAAGGGGTTGAGGAGGTGGTGGAGGCAGTGGTGGGAGATCTGATGAGGTGGTGGAGCTTGGACATGCTGAAGTGGCGGAGAAGAGGCGCTCGAAGATGCTGAGAAGGTGGTAGAGCTTGGGGATGCTGAAGATGTGGAGAATAGGTGCTCAGAGATGCTAAGGTGGTGGCGATAGAGGAGCTTCTAGTTGAGGAGGTGGTGGAGGTGGCGGTAGAGGCTAGAAGATGAGTGGCGGTAGAGGCTCTGAGATGAGAGGTGACGATGAGAGACTCGGAGATGAGTGGAGGCGCCCTAGTTGAAGGAAGTGGAAGAGGTG